GCTTGGGCAGGGGGTTGGGCTGGGTGACCCCAGAGGTCCCTGCCAACCCCGACCATTCTGTGATTCTGGGATTCTGTGATCAGCTGAGCAAAGCTTTCCAGCATCTCGCCGCTAACCAGCACGAGCCCGTTAACGACCGCGCCGCGGCCCCGTTACATCTTCGCAGCCTGAGGTCCTCGGTTTTCTCCAAGCCCGATTTCAGGGCTCGCTGGCCGTATTCAATCGCTTACAGAATCCGATTTATTATTTATGTCTCAAGGTACAGCCTGGCTTGAATTGATTCGCCGCGCTCTGATGGCCACGGCACGCTGGCGTGGGATCTCGTTGCTGTGGGTGAGACCAGGCGGTTGCAGTTTGTCACCTCTCGTTTAAGCAGCCCAGGCCTGGGGAACGGGATGGGGCCAAGTGACACCGGATTTTAGGAAGGAGCCGTGGATGGGAGCACAGAGCAGGTGGGGGGAGCAGAAGTGGTGGGAAATAACAGAACTGGGAAACCACTGGGAGCCCTGGTGTTACAGGGGATGCTTAGCAGGCCTTCAGCTTCACCTTCACCTTCACCACCACACTCCTCTTCACCACCACCTTAACCATGACCGTACCTTCACCTTCTCCTTCACCTTCACCACCACCTTCACCATCATCATCACCTTCATCTTCACCATTACCATCACCTTCACCACCACCATCACCTTCACCACCACCTTCATCTTCACCACGCCATCACCTTCACTACCAGCTTCATCTTCATCTTCACCTTCACCACCACCTTCACCCTCACTCCTTACCCTGCCCATGGTCAGAGCTTGCAATGCCTTGGGTGGCAGCAATGAGCAAACATCCCACCAACCCGAGCCCGTCGCTCCGGGGCAATGGGGAGCAGAGGCAGCAGGGGCTGGGGCAGCTTTGCTGACGGCTCATCCATTGGAGAAGGACCAGGACCAGTGGGCTGGTGGGCAGGATCATGGGCACACTGCCCTCGGCACAGGGGCCCTCTGCACCCACCTCACCCAGCTGCCCAGATCACTGGGTGCTTTGGGAATCAGAGAATCACAGAATCACAGAATGGTCGGGGTTGGAAGGGACCTCTGGGGTCACCCAGCCCAACCCCCTGCCCAAGCAGGGTCACCCAGAGCAGGCTGCAAAGCACCGCGGCCAGGCGGGGCTGGAATATCTCCAGAGAAGGAGACTCCACAGCCTCCCTGGGCAGCCTGGGCCAGGGCTCCGGCACCCTCAGAGGGAAGAAGTTCTTCCTCGGGTTCAGCTGGAGCTTCCTCTGCTTCAGTTTGTGCCCGTTGCCCCTTGTCCTGTCGCTGGGCACCACTGGAAAGAGTCTGGCCCCATCCTCCTGACACCCACCCTGCAGATATTTATGGGCATTTCTAAGGTCCCCTCTCAGCCTTCTCTGAGGGGGAGGAGAACCTCCCTCGCCCTGCTGCCCACACTCCTCCTAATGCACCCCAGGATCCCACCGCCCTTCTGGGCACCCAGGGCACACGTTGGTCCATCTCCAAGAGCTCTTGACTTCAGACATCCTTGGATTAAAAGGTGATTTTAACGAACGCTGTTTGGGTAGCATCATTAGCATGCTGCTGGCAAGCAACCTGCGCCCTTGAGCCTTCTCCCACGTGGGGATTGTTCCCAGCAAACCTCCGGCTGACGCCAGCTCCGCTCTCTCGATTGCCAAGGGTGCGAGCTCTGTGTTGAAGATCCTTTAGCAGCCTCCGCTAATTGTCTCTGAGATCTAAGGCAGCTTCGGGGGAGACATTCACAGGCACCTCGCTCCGTCCCAGCTGCGGTGGGAGCTCAGCACCTGCCTGCTGCTGGCTCCTGCGAAGCTCCCCGCCGCGCCTCGGTGCTCGGCTCGGTGCCTGGAGGGGAGCAGCTCGCATCCTTGGGGCCCCTCCGCATCGTTGCACGGGACTAATTAAAACTTCAGGAAGTGTATTTACCTAATGCAGGGTTGATTCCTCTAACTGGGACATCCTGTCTTCAGAGGTTTTCACAGCACGGGGTGATAATCAAGAGAGAACAGGCTCCAAAAGTGTTAATTTAGTAGCTGAGCTGACGGGGATTAAAACCAAACCTCTGTTTTAGTTTTTTCTTGCACTTCCACGGCTGAAATCTAAGTAATCATCCCACTGGGGAGCGCAAAGCAGTGGCACCTCTGCCCAGGAAGCACCACGCTGGCTGCCTGTGCCAACATACCCGGGGCTGCGGTGCCTG